ATATAAAAGACATAAATATTAAAGAAAGAAAAAAAATACTTAAAAAAAGAAGAATAAAGAGAAAGAAGAAAAATATAAGAAAGTAAAATAATAATAAAACATATAAAGAAAAAAAAATAATACAATCTATAAAGTATTAAAATTTGTGTATAAATTATTGATAAACTAATATTTTTTTATATCCAACTTATGTTGTATAAAATCTACCCATTTTTCCCATACCACAAAAAACTTCTCTTGCAATTGATCCTTTAAAAAAGCCGAAATCTTTGCCATTTCCGCCAGATAGGATACTTTAAAAAACCACTCTTGCAAAGTAGGCAAAGATTCCTTCTTCCAGTATTGCCCTACTAACAACCTTGCGGCTGTAATTAAATTTAACATCAATATAACCTCCTTAGTATCACAATCGGTAACAATACCTGACAAAAACAATTGTGGGGTAAATTTTACCCTCCTTCTAAAAATTCTTTGAATTCCACCATATCTTAATCCAAAAGGCTTTTATATTTTTACACGACCACCAAATATGGTAATAAGTAGCATCCAAACAACCACATCTCCAACATTTGGGCTGTAAGTCGGGATACATACGAGACATTTTTTGTGGATCAATACAGTCTAATTATAGTTTGAAATCTTACAGTCATATGTAACCAGAGAGTTTTGAATATAAGAAATACCTGCAAGCAAAAGGAAAACTGTGGGCATTTTTCTTTTTTTTTTTTTTTTTCATTTTGCCAGATAACATTTCTTATTCATTTTTAGTAATAAAACATTCAGCGCTTAAAGATGGAGCTGGATTCTGGTGAGACCTGACATTTGGATATGTTTTAAATTCATGCTTCTGATATGAGAGTAATATTTCTACATGTCAAACATTGGAGGAGAGGGTGGAAACACTCATAATTTTAGGCAATACTGAGGATTTAGGTTTTGACAGTCATATAATTCATATATTGTTTATCCCTTTGCTTGGTGCTTTATCATGCCAACAAATAAATAATGCATGCAGTTATAAGAGGTACTTATTATCCTTGCTATATGAAGATAAAGAAACCAATGTAACATTTGTCTGGCTGGCATAGATAGTCGTGCTTAGCTTAGAGACAGTACAAGTTGAAAGCAGTGGATTGGCACCAAAAAATTTGCCTTATTTGCCTTTTGATATGTGTGTGTTACTTTTCTTACAGTAATAAGTAATTAAAAATACCTCCACAATTGCTTTCACAAAAGACACTTGCACATCAAATTGTATTTGCTCTTCAATCCCATACAGAGCAATTTGAAGCCAAGAAATCAGGCAGAAAACATCAAAACAAATTGAAACCAAAAGAAAAATGCAAAAATAAAATAAGTATGCTATCCCAAATTACTGCAGGCTCTAGAGCAGCAAATTCCCTCCCCATCTCATGCATAAGGGATATTAAATATATTTTCAGTATTCACTCTCTACCAGAGATTTCTAAAACATCCTGGCTGCATTTGCATGAGCCATTTGCACACATTAAAAAGCAAAATGGTTGAAGAAACCACCAAGCTACCATTTGCCCTTTGCATTTAAAAACTTATTTGTAGCTATGATGGTGAAACTGTAACATGTCAACATTTGCCTTTTCAGAGTGAGGGAGATACAGCTCAAACAATGCCCACATAAAAGCATCAGGAAAAGTATTTTGAATATTGCCCGCCTGTCGGGAGTGAGAGCAAAAGAGGGTGAGTGTCCTGGAACAACAGCAATCCCATCACCTGCCCACCCCCTTAACTATAAGGCAGTTGCTAGAGGAGAAAGAAACCTCAAGACAGACCCACCATTTATATGGAAGATGGTGCACTGCCAAGGATCAAGTCACCTTCCCTTGCCCTTCTCGTGGACTAGGAGTTTATGGGAGCAGCAACTGTGAAAACAGCCTGGATCAATCATAGCTTCTATTTTAAACTCCTTGTGTAGTATAGGAACAGGGAAGGAGCAGGAAAAAGGCAAGAACCTGTGCAAAAACACACTTCCCTTTTGGGATCACTTACCATATGAGCCAAACTCAAATCAGCTCAGCTGCAAGATGTAGACAACAGAGTCCAATTCTGTGGACTAGCTATTATGCACACATGTTTATTAAAGTTTCAGTGCATTCTGGGCTCATGTGACAGCTTAACTCCTCCCTTTGGATTCAACTGTTGGATGGCTCAGTTTTGAACATATCTTGACTTTTGAATAATTAAGGGAACTCTACAATTTACTGGACATCAACTAATCTCCATCATTTTAACAATTATTTTTCATGCTAAAACTCACCAAATCTAACTAATATATACCCCCCTCCCATTCATGCATTTTCAACCATTAAAGACATGCAATACTAGCAAATGCAAGTTTGCTCCATTGGCTGGAAGAATTGAAAATTCAAAAAATGGAGATTACCCTTCTGCTCCATTGTATCCTAAGGAGAGGCCATTCAAACACACACACACACACATAAAAACACAACAATATACATTTTGATCACAAAGGCACATAAGAAATAAAGAAGCACACTAAACACACAACTGTGGCTGATTTTAAAGGAAGAAAAAGAAGGTGCTCTAGTCTGCTGAAATTCTGCAAAGATTTCATTTGAAAACCATTTTCACACATTTTATCTAGAACTAAAAGCTAAGTTAGAGAAACACATAGCATTACAGATGATTATAGAGGTACATTATGGGTATTCTTGTCATGTTTTCCTATATGACCTCTGTTGAATCCTTCGTTCGCATGCGAATGATGAAGACACATGGTAACAGTTAACTACTCTTTATTCTCCTTTTCCAACAACCAAGCAAACAGCAAAAGGCACGCAGGGATTGGGCGGCATATAAATTTTACTAATAAATAAATAAATAAATGGCCAGAAACCCAAACAATAGAAACAGAGAGTTTTCGCGCCTTGCGCATGCACACAAGGCTGGCGCCGCTCTGTCTGGTCCCAGGCAGCTTTTGGAATGCCCGGGACCCATGCAATGTCCCGAGCCTGCTTTTGCAGGCTCAGGACACAACAACCTCCATCTAATTTTGTCAGATTCCTAAGTTTGAAATTGGTGTGGGTCATACAACATGCTAAGTCACAATGTCCTTTACTTAGTTGTGGTTTAACAAGTTATATGAAGAGGACAATAGGCCCGGTAAATGATGATTTATGGCTTAATGCATAATATAAGCTTAGCTTCATATGGTTTTTCAGTAAACCATGTTGAAATAAATAAGACATAGCATTTCATTGGATAGTGGTACAACTGGTTTTCCCAATAACTGGAAAAATCTATTATATTAGTGAGCCACATGCTCTAGTTATATTTTCCAAGCTGAATTGCTGCTCTGGGGATTTCTCTTGCTCTTCTTTCAGAAGCCAGAGTTCAAAGCAAGCTGTGCTTGTCATTTTGAGAAGAAATAAGAGATGTTAGTGGCATAGTGATGACACAGAGTGAGTTGGAGCTGGCTGGGAAAGTTTTCTATTTGAGATGATGGTAGTGTGTGTCTTTCTTTAAAAAAAAACACATTAAACTTATTTTAAGTTATGCAAAAGTTATGTGTCCTTTCTGCATCAGATAGTGGAGGACAGAATGGGATTTCAGATTCCCTCCCTAATTTAGAAGACGGAACAAAGCTATGCCACTCAGCCTTATTTTAGGAATGCTCACTATAAACAGAAGTATTTAATGCTACAAAGAACAAGTGTCAATGTTAAGACTGATTTATTGGATCCAGTTTTGATTAATGCAGTGCATTTGATGTAGAATAGAAAGTCTGACCATCCAAACAATTGGACTGGGCAAAAGGAAGTCAAAGAGATAGTGGCTTTCATAAATCTGAGACTTCAGTTTTATCACACTCAATATGGCTAAGGGCATGGAACTGTGAGTGCCATAGTCCAAAATATTTGAAAGCACCACTTCCCCTTCTTGGTCCATGCTATCTAAAGCATTAGCAATGCAAACATCTGCTAATTACTTTTAGAAATGGTCTCCTGGATAACATTTCCTGGATGTTATTTAATGGAAATCATACTATTAGGTGAGGCCAGCGTATTAACATCCTTACAAATCTGTTTTTTTTCTCTTGTAATATTTAAGACATATTTAAGGCACTTAAAACAACTTTAAGATTAAGTGGTTTTACATGGGACAGAAGTTTTTCTCAATGGAGTTGTGGATTTCATTTCCTTTGGAGACAAAGAATGGTTTATTTCATAAGAAAGAACAATGATTTTCTTTACAGAGGCATCAGGAGTTCTCTAATTGACTATTTTTGTGCTTTTACCAGTGGCCTGTTCTTACTATGTTTATTTATTTCCCATCATTCTGAGACTTCTTTCGATTTGTTCCCCCAAATAGCTAATATTGTTATTTTGTTTTGTTTTATGCTATCTAGCACAATACATGTTTTAATAAATATAAAGAAAAACATTGTGTCCTGGTTATTCCGTAAAGTACTAGCAGGAATTTATAACAATGTAAACCTTTCCATGCCAATCTGAGACAGATTTTACTGAGTCAACAGTACTTACTTTTAAATAAGCAACTATAATTTGCTGCTATCTTTTTATTTTAGCATTGCTATATGAAACCCCACCTTGCTGTCGGAGGCTATTGTCAAGGGCATTTCCAGAGCTTAATCTGGGCAAAGCTTGATGATGATACCCAAAGAAACTACTTTAGAAAATGAGATTTATGCAGATTTTGGGTTCAAAATGATCTTATGAAGAAAAATAGTCACCTGGCTTAAATATCAGAAACATTATGTATGTATGCATGTATGTATGTATGTATGTATAAAACTGTGTTTTACAGATCTATACACCTAAACATTAATGTGCAAATTATGTCATCAGACCATTTAATTGTGAAATAAAATTGACCAGGGACCATTTTCTATGGTGGATAGCATTCTTTCTACTTAAAATTCTTTCTATCTTTCAAAATGGAATACTTGTATATATATAAATATATATAAAACTACTTCTCACTTTGTCCAGCACACTTTATCTAGCAACTGTTCCATGGTAATTTTGTCCCATTCCTCTGCATGTGGTGCTTTCCATGGAGCTTCATTAGGAATCTAGGAAAGGAAAGGACACATGGGTAAAGAAAAAACACAACACAGAGATGATCATGCACAGTTTCAAAATCAACCAACCTTTTTATTAGCTCCCAATGCTTTTTCCCTAGTCTGCAACAAAGGAATGATTGTTCTTCAAAATTAAAGACTTTCTTGAATTGGTTTAAATTGGTCAGCTTTTATAACAATTCTGTCATTTATGTTACAGGGTTTTAGTAGAGGAAAGTATTTTATTCTGAGTTGGTACAGTAGATGAACTGTATCAATGAATATTTTGCAGGGTTTTTTTAAACCACCAAATGTTTGTTGACCAAAGAACACTTTTTGACCATGCAGCCAGTTTCACAAAATTGCTTTTGTGAGGATAAAACAAAAGGAAATTCTCACATAAATCACAAATATTTTAAATCTAATTAATTAAATTTAACTAATAAACGAAATAAATATTTGTTGTTTATCCAATGAAGCATCTTAGTACTATAAATAAACTGTCTTGAAATTGGGCTGTTCAAGATATTGGGTCTCTTTCATTCATACCCTCATAAGTAGTAGAAAAATCAACCCCTTTCCCCCCCCCGGAGGGACAGAGGCATCTTGGAAGGAGAACACATGAATGGAAACAGACTTGCATTCTGAAGAATAGGCTGCTTTGCCTAGTTCTGTTGATGTTCACATTGAAAAATAGCTCCTCAGGAACATTAAGATGTGTAGATTTCAGCTTCCAGAATTCCCCAGCCAGCATATTGACTAATTACATACATATCTCAAGTTGCAACTTGTCCAAATCTTACCTCTTTCCCCATTTCATCCAGTGTCCTCCATAGATGGTTGTAGTCCAAATAAATAATGGGATTCCACATTGGAGGAAAAGGCCCTTTGAAGGGATAAGATTTGCCCTGTAAGGTTGATGAAAGAAGAAACAACTCAAAACTGATAGTTATTCCATCTAGCTACAATTAAAAAGTCCAGGAAAGGATGTGAATTCAAATGCTCACCATTTCTATTATACTTCTCTATCGACCACAGTCAGAACAAGGAGAGCAAAACTCTCCTTTTCATATTAGTGCTAAGAAGTTGTATTAGAATAGTATCTGTAAGTGGCCAACCTAGGTAAGAACAACTTGAACAACTAAAAGAGCAAAGAGAGAACAGCAGAAACAGCAGGAACATTCAAAGTCATGAAAAGGGGATGTTGAAGAAGTTGCAGTGCTCTCTTTCTGTGCTGCTTCCAGCTCTGACTTAGCTGTTTTCCAAAATGTTAGGAAATCATCTGGTTCTGTTCATTTCCAATCCAGACTTGACTAAAAGTGATAGGATTATGATGTGCCATCAAGTGGGTATTAGCAACCACATCTCTTGTGTCGTATCATCAGGTAGATTCAGCAACCACATAGATAGGAAGGCTAATATGCTATCCAATTTTCTTACCCCAATCTCTTCACTGTCCAATTCTATCCTTTAAAATATACTTACTCACAACAATATTTTGGCAATAGTAAAGGGAAAGAGTACATTATAGGAGATTTATCTGCTCTCCAGATCAGTACCTGATGCTATAGGATTTGAGAGCCTTTGGGAAATCAAGTGTTAATTAAGAAGGTTTACACTTCTACATAAGAATACTTAAGAATTTTCCAGTTTCAGATAAATTCAGGATTATTGGGAATACAGTTCCCACCAACTGGAAAACATTAGAATGCTTAGTCTCTATTTAGAATATTTCAGAAATGCTTATCACGGTCTACAAATGTTCATGATAAAAATAAGCCATATAAGGTAATGTATAAGGATTTTGTCCAGATTAGCCTTTTTGTTTCCACCAAAACAGCTTAATTGATTTCTATTCTTGATATAATTGGATTTGGTTAGGCTTTATCGTAAAGTGTCTGATTAAATTGACAAATTAATTAAAAATGCAAGTTAAGCATGATAATCACAGCCACTTGTCCGAAATGGTGTAGGGTTTCCTGCCCGAGCAGGGGGTTGGACTAGATGACCTCCAAGGTCCCTTCCAACTTTACTAATATGAACATATGATCACAGCATGCATCATTGGATAGGAAAGATTTTATGGGGCAGTGTTAGATCTCAATTCATTTGGTATCTTTAATAATAATATTTGATAGAAGATACACAGAATTATGTTCATTTAAATGTGCAAAAGTTCAAGTTTCCCCTTTTGACATCTTTACTGTATACTCAGGATTCTATAATCAGCACAGCAAAATTGAAATCTTGGAGAGTCTTTAGAGGCCATAATGCCTTATACAAGAAAGCCAGCTGGGTGATTTTGGCTAGTCACTCTCTCTAAGCCCAACACACCCCACAGGTTTGTTGCTGTGGGGAAAGTAGGAGGAGGAAAGTACGTCCACTGCCTTGAGTTATTTATAAAAATAATAAAGGCAGGATAATAGTGAATAAATAACATAAGAAACCTCTCTGATAATAAGACACTATCTAATAAAAAAGAGATTGCATTGTAACTAGGTTTTCATTTTTTTTCTAATATGGCTCTAACTTAAATCTTTTGGGGAATAAGGATACAAAAAGTCAGCAACTTTTTAACTATTTCTGAAAATATAAATTATTAATTACCTTCCCAACCGAAAGGATCAATGTCAAAAAGTCAAACCTTCCTAGACATATGACATAGAAGGATCTTGGTTGCCTTTTGTCAGCATGAGACTGCATTTCTCTCTTACATCATGACAGCTGAAGCTGAATGCCTTTTCTTTTCTTATGTTTCAACAGACTGTTTGCCCTGGGGTTCATGGCCTTGACACTGGTTGTTGGTGTTGACATAAAGGACAACTCTGCACTGAAGACTATTGGCTTTCAGCTTATCTCTCACATGGGCATTGGTATATATTTGCAAGTTTATAGTGTTTGCCAATGGAAGCAATGGCAGCATCTAACCAGAGACAATATTCTACAGGGTTCAAGAGATATAAATATGAAGACATAGAGATATAATAAACACATATATACAAAATCTTGTGATATTGATCCATAAATGCTTAATGAAAAATCTGATACCTGTCAAGTCAAGTCTGATAAGGCCATACACAAAGTTCTTAGAAACAATAGATTGCTTATTACAGAAGAAATAGAACATGTTCAAAACCATATCATCAAAGTTATAATTTACAGTTAATTCTGAAGATTATTAAATCAGGGTAATTAGAATAATACATTCAATACAAAAAGGAGTGTCACAACACGAAAATAATATTGTTATTTACAAGTTTGATTAGAAAATATGAGAAAAGGTAAAATCTGGGAATTTTAAAATTTAAAAGCAGAATTAAAATGAATTCCTACAAGAAGGATTTGATGAGAAATGTGTGGTACAAGTTTCATGACAATCTGCAGAGATTGGGTTCATGATGAGCCTTTAAAAAAAGGTATATTGAGAAGTTAATTGGTTCATGAATCAATAAGATGATGTAGAAGTTCATTTGAAAGTAGGCCTGTTTTTGTCTGCTATCTTCTCTCCTCTAAAAACTGGCTTCATGTCAAGGAAAACAATCCTCTTATTTTAATTCAACACTGGAAAAACACAATAAGTAGAGACATTGATATTACCCGATGATACTGTTTTGGTGGTATACCAAAAGTGTTTGGAGAAGCTTGTCTATATTGCTTTCCCAATTTTAAATTATGTAGGGGTCCTGTGCTTTTGCCAGGGTGAGATGAACTTTCAACTTTCATTTTTTTGTTGTTGTTGTTAATTTATAAGATCTTAGCTTAGTTTTATGAATCATCTCAAGGGACCTAGGCAATGCCGGAGAAGTGGGAGGGAAATGTACTGATTATCACCATCTGTTGTTATAGTTATTGTAAAATTCATGAGATTTGCTAAATACAATGTAATAGTCATAGCTGACATTTCTACACTTCTCTAACATAAAGGTAAATGGTCAAATAATTATTATTAACCTTCCTCTATGAAAGAAAACAAACTACATTTGTATAATAGGGCAATCAATCTGAGGCTTATATTAAACAATTATGTACTATGTCCTGAGATTGGTTTGGAGATATAATTAAGGAAATTTTCCATAAATTTAAATTTCTTAATGTAGCCAGTGGTCTCTCTCCCAAAAGTTTGTTTTTGCTAGGAAATTGCACTTTAAAATTATATACCACTAAATTTTGCGCCTTACTTTTTGAGAGAGAAAAAATGGAAAGATTCACTATCAAACATAATTTTTACCAATAAATTTTGGTGTGCAAAATAAAGGTTGTCTGGAAGCCATAAAATTGGTATTGTGCATTACTTATAGCTCACTGGTTTTTCTGAAGACAATGTACATATGGGGTTCTCTCCCCACATTTTATCCTTACAAAATATACTATGGTTTGGACTGACAATTGGTGTCAGTGATATTAGCTAACACAATAATATTCATGACCAGAGGTCAACCACTAAACAGATTTGATAGGAGATACCTCCAAAAGAAATAGCCAAAATATTTCTGCCAGCTACCTGACTTATATATATCACCCCAATTGTATCTATCTTTTAATCTTTATGCTAAATAAAATATTCTGCCTACTTTGACTTCCTGAAATAATACAAATTGAAGAAAACTCAACTTCTTCAATTTCAGAATTCTTTCATATCTTGTTAACCTGAGTATTTAACAAACCATTCCAAAATATAAAATTTCAAAAGTTATTAAAGCTTTGTGAGTCTCCCACATCATAAAAGAGGTTAAGAAACAGTTGTTCTTACGTTGACATGATGAATAAGATGCTCAACTTCGTTCACTTTGTAAGTCTCAAGTCCTAACTCCTTAGACAGTCGTAAAACACGATTTTGTGTGGGTCCCACGTATGCTCCTCCCAAGTCAACATACTTGACATGCTTATTCTGGTTGAGAAAAAAAATAATGTATTGATAAATGAATACGTGGGTATCATTAACGTGAATGGGAAAAAGGGAAACGTGTGTCAATGTATCTATCATTATACAACATTGATATTTTTTTGCATAATGATTACAATGTCCTTTTTTGCTGGTCAGAAAGGTAATCTTTTAAGGAATCTGCAAGGATCAGATCTTGGCTCAAAGAAGTATGATCCAATTTTGATGAAGCTGTTCATGCTTGGGTAAGGTTAACTTTTATTCATTTATTTGTTTAACTAGTGTTTATAGTTATCCACTCAGCATATGATTAAGAGTAGCATTCCTCATTAAAAACAAAAATAAATCCATAAGATTACATGATAAAAAGACAAAAAAATATAAATAAACCAGAGATATATAGTCACATAAATTGCTGGGGGGAAAAACTCATCCAAGGCCGTATCTTTCCCAAACTCAATGTTTGAATAAGAACCATTCTTTAATGCCCTTCTAAAGGCCTTCAGAATTGCTGCCAGATAGAGCTCAAGGGGTATGTTGTTCCATAGGGAAGGAACAGCAACAAAGAAAGCACATCTTTTGAATTCTGCCAGGTAAGATTGCCTGTATGACAGACCCTAGAGCACACTGACTCTATAAGTCTTACTGGACAGATAGAAAAGATTCAAGACGAAAATAGCTAACTCTATACCACAAAGATTTTCTTTTTTAAAAAAACAAGTTTTATTAATTTTCCAGTTTTACATCCAAGTATTTAGGAAGCAGCGTGGTGATTGGGTAATCAATAGTCCAGTAACAAAAATCTTTCGTACATGTCTCAAATTACATCATCAAAAATTCCCTCTCTGTTTCCCTTAATTATTATATCACATTCAAATTAATACATTTCTAATTATAACTCGATCAATTAAGGTATTTATCAATATATTTTAACTTATACATATCCATGTCCTGTTTTTAAATTTTACCGAATTTCAATTACAGTATTCCAGTTTAGCCTTTAGTATCCATAATATTTAGATTTTGGGTAACCCAAATTTCCCTTATTTCATTACATAATAGTTGTCATATCTAAAATACACATATTGTTTATTTAAATACATTCTTACTTTATTTCACAAATATATTCTATTTCTCATCCTAATACCTCATCACTTACTAATAAAGTATCCTTTATTGTCTCAATCCAACTTCCATATTATAATTCAAAACTATATTCTAATGGCTAATTTTCATTTCCCTTATAAATCTAAGTCCCAAATATTAAATCAATTAATATCTTTTAAAATCTCCTTGGCCCATTAAGTAAGATTTTAGGCTCTTCCATTATAAGTCAAAAACAAAAATATCCTACTTTTTAAGTCTAACTCTAGCTTTCTTTTTATGCCAAGCAGGCTTCCATACCAGTGCCTTTAAATCCTCAAGTGGATCTCCCTTCATTCCTACACATGTTATTTGAATCAAGGGAGACCATCCAGTTATCAATTTTTTAAAGGAACTGGCCCCTTTATAATCATTGTATTGTTGCCCTAATAGTTCAAATCTCCATGTTTGGTTTAGAGTATTTATTGTCAATTCAGTCTGGTCTTCTTCTTCTTCCGGTTTTGTCTGGCTTGAGTAAGAGGTCATGTCCAATGTTGTGGTTGTTGTTTGATTGTCTAGGTTATCTAGGTTCTCAATATGCTGTATTTGTGGATCTATAGCACCCTCCATCTTGGTGTTGCTTTCTTCAGTTTCTGTTACTTTTTGAATTGCAGTTTTTTTAGTTGAAATCAAGGTTGGACTATCAAAGTTCTCAGTAGATTGTACTTGTTGTTCATTAAGGTCCTCTTTGATATTAATTTGTTCCTCTCCTATTGCTTTTTGGATTGTAAGTTCATCAGTTGAAATCTGGGCTCCATTTTGTAAATTTAAAGTGGCATCTTTGTCTTTCAATCTGGAATTCATTAGCTCAGTAGCTTCAAGGATTTTTTTCAAGTATAGGTTTATAGTTAAGTTGTAGGTAGTATTCCTCCATTTCTATGGTGTTTGCAGATAGTTTTTTAGTGGAGGCTATTTTTGATAAAAGTCAGTGAATGTCTACCTCTACTATTCCTAGAAGTTATTTTCACCACCCAGCTGTTTCAAATTCTTATCTTTTTTAGATAGTACCAAGGACAAATCTAGGCAATAAGCAGGTCTCACAGTCAAAAAAAAAACTCACTTGCTATACCAGGCTTCGCCACAAGATGTCCCCGATAGCATGTATTTTTCCAAACTCAAGTTAGACTTTTATCCAGTTTAACTTTTTTTCCAACTTAACAAGTAGATAAGGTAATAGGTCCCCGTAGAAATGGGAATCCCAAATATCCAAAAAGTGCAAGTCCAGTTATTTAATTGTTTAGTTTAGTTGTTCTTTTCTTTTCTTTTCAAAGCTTTATGTTCCCAAAGTAGGCAGATGCCACTATGTTAAAAGGGGGGAAGAAATTTCAAAAGGCTTTTAAGGAAGGTAATTGGGACATAAGAAGGGTAAGGTAAGGTCTCACCCAATTCCTCCGCGTGGTGCTTGGCGGTGATTTTGGCTTTTGGCTGGTACAGCTTAGTGATCGGCCATGTTAATGGCTGATCTTTTCTCCATCGGTCCAAAGGAACTGCCTCGGATCAAACAGAAAGGCTACCCCCCTTCCACAATCTGTTGAGGGTCTTCTTCATGGCCGTCGCCCCTCCAGGGCGACTTTCGACCCTTTTCAGGGTCTCCCAATGAAGGAAAAATGGGTGGCAGAGAGAGCGCTCCCCCCGCGCATCCACCGGAGTCGCGATCGCAAACTAGAAGCCTATACCACAAAGATTTTCATACGTAAGACCAGCAACTGAGAGTGAACTGGTAACCAGTGCAGTTTATGAATTAGAACAGCAGTCTCCAACCTTTGTGGCTTGGTGGCTCAGCTGCGTGGGAGGGGGGAGGGGAACCAGGCCGCACAAGCAAGTTGAGCTGCATGCACATACATGTGTGCCTAGCCATCACTCACGTGGTCTGGATGTGAACAGGCCATGGCCTGGTAATGGGCCATAGCCCAGAGGTTGGGGACTCCTGAATTAAAAGAGTTACATTGGAATAGCAAGAATTGCCCATAACTATCCATACCACTGTATCCTGGATCAATTTAAAATCCCAAGGGGTCATCAAGGGCAGCTCCATTAATAGAAATCCAGTCATAAAGTGACTAAGGCATGAGTGACTATCAGCAGGGCTTCCTGATTAAAGGAACAGATGCAATTGGAACACAACATGGAGCACCAATTTGAATAGCAAAATACTGGGAAACCCTACATTCTCACATTCTATAGTGGAAAATTATACACAGAAAGAAAGACACACACACACAAACATACACACAGTACTTACCCTTACTGTGTAAGTTCTGCCTCCAACCCTGTCTCGGGCTTCTAAGACTATAACATCCAATCCTGAGTCATGCAATAACTTCGCTGCAGACAAACCTAAACAACAACAGAAACTTCACTGCACAATGCCACAAAGATCTTCATAGCAATTTAAGTTTTACAATAAATAAGCTATAAATAAAAAATGTGAAAAATACTCTTTGGCATTAAATTAAGAATATAAGACCAAAATATTAGACAGAAAGTATTTTCCAATTCTACTTTATTCTGATTTTAGTTGATAGAATCTTGAGGGCTTAGCACGAGACTTTTATTATGTAACTGTCTGTTTTAGTAATGAAGCTTTAAAACAAGTTTTCAGAATTTTGTCCTTCCATTTCTTTCCACTTCTTTTTCTCACTCTTTTTCCTCCTTAGTACATTTTGATAAGTAAATGTAAGAACCGTCCCTTCCAAAGCATACTATAAACTTGATATTGTTCCAAGACCTAAAGGAATAAAGTTGGATTCAGTGGACATATTAAAATGTCTAACAATTTGAATATTTAACATAAAGAACAGAGTTAATTAATGTAAGTGTGAAGTACAGAACATCTAGTATTTAAGCTAATGATTTTCAATAATGCTAGTTGTTGCATAGTGGGTTTTTGGAGACATTAAGCAGACCGCTTTAGTATAACGTATTTATTATAACAGACAACAGAACTGGCTTAGCCAGCAGAATGACGGCTATTTATACTTGCTGCCTCTAGGCGGCGACAAATCAAATCAAATGGTGTTTTCCCGCTCAAATTTAACTTAAACTTTCCCTCCAAAACGGTTGGAGACACGTTTAAACCAAAACACATCAATTCTTAATATCTATACATAATACTAGTATACCTTGAAATCCCACAGGGATCACTCAAGAACTCAGAACTTTTCTGGGCTTACTACCTATGGGAGAAGATGGTTTTTTTCCCAATTTTGGAATGACAAGCCAAAAAAGGAGTTCAAAAGGAGAAGGCTTGAGAAAGGTAGGAATAAAAAAGAGCTACAGGTGATACTGCTGATATTGATATGGATCTGCAATGGTTCCTCAACTTTTCTGAAGGTGCCTGATAAGGTCAGATACCATGCTTTCACTGTAGAAAATGGAACTTTATAATAAAGCCAATGTAATATTTTCTACAAGGGCATTTTTGTCAAAATCTGCACTTTAGGTAAAGATAAAGGTTTTATTTATGATGTAACATAAAGCAGAGGTCCCCAACCTTTTGGGCACCAGGGACCGGTTGTGTTGAGAGAAATTTTTCCGTAGACCAGAGTGCATGGTTTTGTGTGCTGCCTGCGGATGGGGCTTTGCTTGTTTGTGCGGACTGGTTGCTGGCATGCTGCGGCCTAGGTACTGGTCCACAGACCGGGGGTTGAGGACCCCTGGCATAAAGCATAGTAAAACAGAATGTCAAATGAAACCACCAAATGCATTGTGGCATTTTAGTAGCTTTAACTTTGATTTTTCCAAGACAAATAGTAAAACAAATTCCGCATATTGATAGCCATAGAATTTATTTATACAAAGAATACATTTTTTCTTTTTTATTATGTTGCTTTATATCATGATACATTATACTGTTTCAATTCAATGATGTTTATATAATACAATTAAAATTATTAATATTTATTTTAATAGCTCAGACTACTGAGAAATGAGAAGAGAAAAGGCTTTTTTTCAATAATAATTACAATTTAACGTCAATATTACAAGCATAAAATTATTTGGCCTGTTATAAAAGGTGGAACATTAAAAGAAGAACCGCTACAACTCACATATAGTATTTGTTGTATAATAGAGATTTTGGTCTTAACCCTAGTACTTAATACTAATGACTTCATTACATTACTGTTTAGGGTGTGTGCTTGTTTGTGTGATTGTGTGTTAATGAAGGGGGGGGGGGAAATAGATAACAGAGAAAATTTAACAAGATTTTAAGTACCAAAAAGGGAAAGGAAAAAGGATTTTTAAAAAGAGAGAAAAGAACTACAGCAACATTTAGATGGAGGATAAGGCCAATTCTCCAAGCTTTCATAGGTAACTATGGCAACCTGTTTTCAAATAGCTTCCCTTTAGAAGATTACATTGGAGGAGATTGACATTCTATGGGCTTTTACACAGCTACAGAGCTTGTTCCCTGTTCTCATAGAAATCTGTATTAAATTTAATGTGTGACTAAAATGTCAGCAGCCATGACTGAGGATTTCATTTTTTATTTGATAACATCAGAACTTACATTCAACCACAACATTAGTATAAAGCATGATAGATGGAAAAGCAAAATAAGAAAAAAGTTAAATAAATTCCCCCATACCTGACTCAATTCTATAATTTGATAAATATATAATCAGTTTTGACTGACTGTGCATATAGAACCAAAGAAAACATTTTTGAGGAGGAAACAGGATTTGTTTCATGAAATAATTAGATATGCTCATAAAGACGTTTCTTTCATTCTGCTCTCACATTTATTCATCCACCATTTGAACATGTGCAAAGATGGAACATGTCAACTAAAATGCTGGTTAAAATGAATTTCTGGTTAAACTTTTTAAAACAGTTAATCCTTGTCTACAAACTTGGTTCCTCTTAGAAAAAAAGCAGACCTTCAGATGGTCTATTCTGTTTTTTTGTTTTGTTTTTACTCAATTGTTTAGGATCTGAGAGGGATTTACAGGAGGTCCAGCAACATATTCTGGATTTAAGACTTCCAAAGGGGCAGAATCATTTCTCACCGGTGCCTATGGGGCTGGTCCTTTCTTTTCCTAAGTATCTGTATATCATTCCTTCTGTTTCTTACAGAAGAGCATTTAATCTCACCAGGCTTAATCTTTTACCATCAGTATTCTGGAATGGAGATGGAATAACTTTCTTTTCCAGGACTAAATCTGTCCTATGTAGAGGGTGTCACTGTATTGATGTCCCATTGGCTGAACCAATCATGGCATTTTGAATTAATACCACCCTTCCTGTTCTATGGAAGAGAATACATTTTTCCAATTGGCTGACAAATCCTTTGCAGGAGGACAGTAACTCCCCCCTCCCCTGAGAAAGAAATATTTTGGAAATATATTTCCACAAAGAATCTTAAAGGCAGAAAAGCAGGGGCAGATTTTCTTAATAGCCCCCAGTAGAAACTCAGGCAGCCACCTTTTAGAAATGCAGACTTGATAATCCCATTAAGCCCCATTCATAAGCAAATCCAGAAATCGTGAGGGCTCTATCACTGCAGATTTTTAAGAAGAGGCTAGGCAATCATTTGTCTGAGATGGTATAGGTCAGTGGTTCTCAACCAGTTGAGTAGTCCTTGACTTACGACCGGTTGAGTAGTCCTCGATTTACGACCGGTTGGGGGGGGTCGCGGCATTAAAAAGGTTGAGAACCACTGGTATAGGTTTTCCTGCTTCAGCAGGGGACTGGATTAGAAGACCTCCAAGGTCCCTTCCTAACCTATCCTATCCTATCCTATCCTATCCTATTCTAAATACCACCAGGCAGAAGCGCATTCAAGACAAAATATTTTGAAATCCCCTGCAGCAAAATTGACAGCTAACAATAGCAGAATGATAGAATTAGAACCAACAACCCTCTCACCCAAGAAATCCAACACAAGAAGTAAGCCATCAGTCCCAGTCCCAGAGAAGCAGGATATGACCTTTGGGAAATAATAGGATTAACCCACCAATACCAAAAAGGACACACTCAAAACCTCAGGTCAAAGTTCATGCCACAGGAACAGGAACTCCAAACACAAATGCCCAAGAAAGAATTAAAAACCCACCAGGCCCAGCAACATGTGGTCAGCTGCTCCAGAGCCTCATGTCTTATGGTTCTGTTCTTCAATAAATTACAACCTTCTTTCTAAAGCAGTCTCCATTTTGTTTATTCCCAGCTTGGACTGGACCCTGATGATGAAGACTTTTCTTTCAACACCTTAAAAGGCTTTTTTTTAAAGGTAGGAAAGAATTATAAGTCAGAAGAAATATAAGAAAACACTGGGAATAATTAAATTCTGACAGATCTTTTCTGAATTAGAAGAAAAATAGCTATGCATTTATTTTATTATTTTATTATATATCTTGTTGTTTGATATTTTATGCAAAATTCTATGATCTGTTAGCATAAATAAAATTTTATTGGCTCCTTAAACATATAATGAAAAAAAATTAAAAGCATTAAATATATATAGTAGTTCATTTTCTATTATTTCTCTATAACTTTAGTTTAGACTCTTGGAGTGACTACATATTACTTACAAAACTAGAAAAAATTGAGAAGCGTTAGGAAGATGTAACATCAGACTAATTTTATGTAGCCTTCAGAAGCATCTAATGTTTCATATTACTGCTGGTCCACCTTTCCTCTTCTAACTAGTCTATCAGGAATAATTCCATCCTAGACTGATTTTTTTCCCATTAGTCAACTTCCTAAGAAAAACGACTGAATTTTTTTTCCATTAGTCAACTGCATAAGAAAGATGATTCCCAACCTTGATTCAGAATGCTAATTCCTAAGAAAAACCTTCTGGTAGCTTTAAAAGGACAGATAATCTATCTTCCTTAAAAAGTTTAAAGGCCCAGAGCAGCTTCATACATTTTACTGAAGAGAAGATTAACATATGAGAAAGCTGTGCTTTCTTTCCTGCACTTGTTCAGAAATTGTAAAACAGCTCATGCAGATTTTACACTCTTGGGAAATAAGTTTGCATTCTATCATATGCGAGATATAAGCATTTATAGGTAAGGGAATTATACAGGTTAAGTATACTTTAAATATCTATGGCAGGGGTGTCAAACTCAATTTCACTGAGGGCCGCATCAGCATTGTGGTTGCCCTGGGGGGGGCAGGTGGGTGTGGCCAGATTGGGTGCAGCCTACTGGGTGGGCATGGATGGAATGGGTGTGGCCTACTGGGTGGGCATGGTCAGTTCTACATCATTCACATCAAGAGTGCCTATGGGGGCCTGGGCAGGAGTGGGACAGATTTGAGGGTCTCTGGCAGAAGGGGGTGGGACCGGGGCAAGTGCCAAGGCATGATCCACTGGGGCAAGTGCCAAGATGGCT